AAATTACTTATTTATAGTATTGCGGTCTTGACCACATTGGACGCTCTATGATAGATTCAAAAAATTCACCAATATTTACTATAAAATTAATTATGTATCAATATTGTCAAACAAACAAATAAACAAACTTAGGAAGCAATATTTAGGATTGATGATAGCACATCAAAAGAAATGTTAGAATTAATTCATGCAAACCTATGCACTCTATTGTCTATTGTATCATTATTAAGTATCAAATATTTTTTACTCTTTGTTGATGATCATACTAAAAAGATGTAGATTTGTTTTCTTAAAAATAAAAAGGAGACTCTCAAAAAATTCATGGAATATAAAGCTATGATAGAAAATTAAAAAATAAAAATAAATTAGTAAAAAAAAATTTCTCAAATAACAAAGCTTATGTCAATTATTTAAAAAAATTTAATTGCTTATTTCATGTGCATATAGGTAGTCAATCAAAAAATAAGTTACAATTGAGATTAATAATTTTTAGCTTTATAAGCTATAATAAACAAATAGAGGCATATATAACATATCTATATCTTCTATAAAAAATTACAGTATTTGGAAGTGTTATTTTTGAAAAATCAAAATTTTTTATTTTAAAAAATTCATGCTAAATAGTGAGTCAAGAGAATACTTCAACTTAGGAAAATATTATTACTAGGCAATATTAAAATACAACTTTTCATTGAACTTGCTAGCTATTCCATTTATGAAACACATAATTTCTACAAATTTAGACAACAATCAAGAAGCTGTCTCTTCATCAATTCTACTACATTGCGCCGACCTTAATTTTTTAGCGACCAAAATGATAGTACTTCAATGATATACAAAATCCAATGATGAAGGAAATCATGACATTCAAAGATGGAAATATCATAACAGAAGATTACTTACGTACTAATGGCCACCACCTTCATTAGGTGATCTACTATCATCCTTGCAGCCACAGCACTCATTGGATGTTTTTTTATATATATATCCCTCCAATTATCAACTTTATTGGATCTATCCTAGCCATTGAATCTATTAATCAATTTTAAAAATTCTAAAAACTACAATTATATCCTAAGTAAGGAAATTGAGAAGTAGCCAATTTTTGAAACTAGTAATAACTTATTATTTGTTACAACCTCTGATCTATTCAATTTAGATCAAAATTCACCAAATCCAACATAGACGGTATCAACCATGATAAAAGTTGATTGACAAACTTACTACCGAAGTTTGTTATGTGATTATTTTACTGACCTTATGAAGATTTCAGATCTAAAACCAACAATGTATTTCAAAGCCTCAACACATCAAAGATGGATGCAAGCAATGATTAAAGAAATGAAATCTATATACAAGAATATAATATTGCATCTTGCAAATCTTCTATCAAGTAAATTTTCCATCTCAAAAAATAGGTCTATAAAGAAAAATTAAATATAGATAGATCTTTATAAAAATACAAAGCCAAATTAATATTCCAAGGCTTGGAATAAAAAGAATGGATTGATTATAAAAAAATATTTGCACCTATAGTCAAATGGAAAATAATTAGAGCCTTGATTTCAATTGTAGCTCTAAAGAATTTTAGACTATATTTTACAGAAGTCAAAACTATATTTCTTCATAAAAATAATTTTAAAAAAATCTTTATTACTCAACCTCAAGGTTTTGAAGTATCAAGACAAGAAAAATTGGTTTGTAAATTACATAAGGCACTATATGGATTAAAACAAGCACCTTGAGTATAGTATGAAAAATTAAATTCTTACTTAAAAGAAATCAGTTTTCAACAAGGCACAAGAAATTACAACTTATATTCTAAATTATCATAAGAAAAAATCATTTTCATTGCCGTCTATGTAAATGATCTTTTCATGATTGATATTTGTGCAAAAAATATGATTAAATTCAAATGGAAATTACATGATAAATTTAAAATGTTAGAATTATCAAAAAAAGGAGTTATTTTCTATCTGAAATTAGAATGTATAAAAGTAAAATAAGGAATATTTATGACACAAAAAGCATATATATAAAATATTCTTTCAAATTTTTAGATAAAAAATTATATACCAGCAACAACTCCTATAGATGAAAAAAAATAATCAAAGTTGATATGGAGAAAAAAGAAGTAGATCCAACATAATATTACAATTTTATAGATAAATATCTTTATTTAATTCACTCTTTTCTTAATATAAAAATTTCAATAAGAGTTGTCAGTCAATTTATGGTAAGACCTCAACAATCTCATCTATTTTCTTCAAAAAGAATACTACTCTATATCAAAGATATACAAGACTATTAAATCTTATATCAAAACAACAAACAAACCAATCTTTTGGAATATGCATACTTGAATTGGGTTGGAGATATAGAACAAGCTCAATTCATGACTAGACTCATATTTAGCATTGAAACTATACATATTTTATAGTTATCAAAAAAAAAAAAAAAAAAAAAAAAAAAAAATCTATTGTTGTACTATTTTCATTAGAAATTAAATATAGATCTTTAATTGATGCATCTTGAGAAGCTTCATGGCTCACAAGGATGCTTAAGGATTTACAAGTAGAAGTCAAAGAATTAGTAGTCATATATTACAATAATGTTGGAAGCATTAAGATAGCTACAAATCCAAGAAAAATCCAAGAATAAAATACATAGTAATATATTATCATTTTACCAAAGAAAAGATTTAATTATAAGAATTCAACCTCAAATATGTACCAATATTGGAATAGGTGGTAGACATCTTTTTAAAACTATTAGAGAGATCTTTATTTGAAAAGTTTAAAAAAAACTAAATATAATAAACATAATCAATATAATTAGATAGTAAATTTAGAACTAATTCAACATATATTCTTTTACATCAATTTTAATCTAAAATATTTTGAACTTAATACCTTTGAAACCTTTCACCTTAAGTTTACAATTAAATTAAGAAACATGGATCCTAAGATTGAATCGACTTTAAATTTCATAAAACTTCCTACAACAACCACCATTAGAGCAAAAAGTACTTTGTGGTATAACCATTGAGCTTAGTAAATCATAAAAAAGATGTAAATTAGAAGAAATTTCTAGCAAGAATATGAGAATATTGACAACAACCTTACTTTGTCCACATAACAAAGTCAAAGAATGGAAAAAATCAGTATCTAAAAGACTTATCAACCAATTACAAACACTTGCTATAAATGTCAATAATTCCCAAATTACAAGGACAAAGGATTGACATTACAATAGTGTTTCAAACATCATCAGCAAAAGGCACCAAAACCAATTATTACTATATAGTAAAATAGATGGATTTAAATTCACTTATGAGTAGCAAAAACATTCCTAGACTTAGGCCATCACCTCATATTGTAACTTTGAGTGTAGAGAAATCCAAAAACTAAAATTGCATCAAACCCTCACTACCATAAAATATAATTTTAAAAGTTAACCTATAAAGGAGTATCTAGATCGAAAGAAACATAGCAAAACCATAGAGACAAAGGAGGGTGTTGATGGAACACCTATGTATCTAGGATCTCTACTTATTTCACCAACAAATTAGGTATCAACCAATACTTAGATAATCTAATTTTGTATAAGAGGCACTACCTCTTTCTTCTAGAGAAGTTAACTGGGACTCTTGTATTAGAGCTGTTAAGTTACTTGTTACTTGTTAGTTTTTCTGGTTCTATTGTTGCTTGATATTCTTACTGTACTTTAGCACCTTGTCGTGTCTTGCATCTCCCTTTACGCAGCAAGGGAATGTGGTTCTAATCTAGTCCTTCAATTGTGAAAGAGATGGCTTTCAGGTTGAAGGTGTGCCCAGCAGTCCCTTGAGGAGTGGCGAATGGGCGCGTTCAATGAGCAATTTTGTGTGGAACCAGGGGAATATATGGGGTCATTTTACATATCTAAGCAAGAGCTCTTCATCCAGCAATACAGGCCCAAGCCTTCTTACAGCAGAATTATGTCCACTGGCACGACGCTTAAGCATGCGCATTGCCTCTGCGCTAACCTTCATCTCAGCGGGAATGGAAATAGGTCTCAAAGCTGGTGTCTATGAAGTTCGAAAATTCACTGATGGTATTAAGCCCTGGACACTGGGTGCTTAACATCGACTGGATGAACTCTTGTATGAGAGGTCTCCGTTTGTGGAAGGAAGTACAGTTTTAGTTGGAGGTCGACAAGAGACTAACCATTCTTATACTTCGAGGAATTTATCATCGGTTGTCTCGTAAGGGCCTTGACATATTGTGAGGGCTCCTTAGTTACTCTCGAAACTTTTTTGGAGTGACAGAGAGCAGCAGAAAGAGAGGTGGACTACATACTTATGATATCGCAAATGTAGAAAAGGAGCAGATGCGTGTATCTTTGCAGGAGCACTGAGGTTCATTGCCATATTCCTCTCGTGGATGTTGTTAGAAATTCTCTCCAAGCCTAGACGTGTGTATAAGTGCGTCCAGGTAGATATTGATTGTGGAAATTCAGAAATCATAAGGAGTCGCAAGATTTGCCGTTGTGACGACAAAAATATGATGGATATCTCCGTGTCTGATATTTCGAGCATTGGTCAACTTGTTGAAATTTGCGTGTGCGGGGGTACATAATTAAATTATTCATTTTTATTGACTTAGAAGTATCTTTTGTTTTTTTTGTTTTTTGTTTTTTTTTTGTTTTTTTTTAATGAAAAGTAACCTCCTGTGCGCAATGTGAGAAGTCATGAGTGGAGTGATTCATACTGTGTTCGATTTGTACTGTCGCAAATTGATCACAGTTGTGTTCTAGAGTGCATGCAGTGAGAAGTCAGTTATCGCGGGTGATTGATGACATTTTCAGCGGCCAAAATTTTAGGTTCACGATACTTGGAGTTGACAGACTTTTTGTTGTTAAAAGCAAATTGTAGTGGTCCATTCAATATGGGGACCATTTGTTTGGTACACACATCCTCCATTGCACACCAAATAGATTGTACGTGAAGTGAAACATGTAGAGGCTACGAAACTGCTTTGAACAAGTGAAAAGGAAGGTAACCTTTTAGAATTTTAGTTTACAATGGAAACTTTCCATCCATTGTTGCGGACTGATCTGGTAGACAACCGATATACTGGTCATCATGTTCGCATATCGATTGCGTTGCTATCGAACTCGGAGTCCTTGTTCTTATTGTTCCCTCTAAATCTCAACTGCTCATCCACTGGTAGATTACTAGTTTTCAAGGTCTCGGACGAAATTTCATTTTCGTCGTCAGTAGAGTGCTTGGCTGCTTTGGATCGACGCTTCAACCCCAAACATGTTCTGCTGGGAAAGCACGAAATTTCCAAAATGGGCGACTTGGGTACTGGCACGCATTTAATAAGAACCGCCAACGGCCACGACACAGATCCGATGGCCACACACAGACCCCACCACTTAATGGACAGCATGGTTGTATCTGCGAAGTTATTCAAGAATGTCACGATGATGACCTGGAGGAAGATGGTGACCGCAATGATTCCAATAAACATGAAGTGCTTGTGAAGGCCTTCGAACACGTTGAAGGACTCTGGCCGTCGGGCGTTAATCTCATTGAAGATCTGACAGAACACAAAGGCGTTGAAAATGAAGGTGTTCCTCTCCAGCACCTTATCCTCATCCGTTCCCTCCAGCCCCAAGATTTCAATTCCGCGATACGTCAACACGAGGAGCACAACGATCTGATAGAGGGCTTGGCCGAAGATGTTCCGCCACATTACGTTGGTGATAAGTGGATCTTTGCGCCCGATGGGTTTCTTGTCCATGAGATCATCCGTGGGATCTTCAGTTGCCAGCGCAAGGGCCCCCATGGTGTCCATGATGAGGTTCACCCACAGCAATTGCACTGCCGTCAGAGGCACATGCCCTGAACTCACAGCAGCCACAAAGTTGATGGTGAGCGCCACCACATTAACAGTCAGTTGGAACTGAATGAACTTCTGGATGTTGGAGTAAACCGACCGACCCCATCGCACCACCTTGACCACCGACGTGAAGTTATCATCCAGAATAATGATATCAGAACTCTCTTTTGCCACCTCTGTACCCGAGATTCCCATCGACAACCCAATGTCAGCTTCTTTCAGCGCTGGAGCATCATTTGTTCCATCTCCAGTTACCGCTACGACGTCTCCTCTTCTCTCCTTCAAAGCTTTCACAAGCTTCAGCTTGTCTAGTGGTGAGGACCTTGCCATTACCACCAGGTTATCCAAGTCTGTGCTGGCTAGCCTTCTGTCATCCCAATTGCGAAAGTCCCGACCCTCTACTACTAGCCCACCTTCGGTCAAAATCCCACACTCGGCAGCGATGGCTTTAGCAGTGTAGATGTTGTCTCCAGTCACCATGCGGACCTTGACACCAGCCCTTTGGCAACGCTCCACAGCATCACGTACTCCAGGCCTGCAAGGATCCTTGATGCCCGCCACGGCTACAAGCCCGAGACCCTGGTCCGGAACCTTCCATTCCGAACGATCCTCTTCGCTCTGCGGTACCTCCAATTCATCGATGGATCGATAAGCAAGGGCAATGCACCGCAATGCCTGCGCAGCCATCCCCTCGATTATATCTCTAAATTCCTTGCACTTCTCGTCGGTCATGGGGTGAGATTCACCACGAGCGTCGAACCAATGGGTGCACAATTCAAGGATAATTTCAGCAGCTCCCTTCCAGTGCAGTTGCACATGTCCATCAGCTGTTTTGAACACCACACCTGCGCGTTTCTTCTCCGAATTGAACGTCTCCACGTGCAGAATCTGGTTTTGGTGCCTGACATCTCTAAAGTCCATTCCTATTTTAACCCCCCAAGTCAAGAGAGCTGCTTCCGTGGGACTGCCTGTTACAGTAGGTTCTTCTCCGGCTTTAGACGGAGATACGTTGCCGTTACTGTTAAGACAGATAGATTGTACAAGCATTTGGCGCAAGTTGGAAGGCAGAGACTCCAACCTCAGTGACTCCTCCCCTTTCGTCTCTCCGCCCACACACGCCCGGGTGACGGTCATCTTATTGGTAGTGAGTGTCCCAGTCTTATCACTACAGATGGTGGTAGCCGATCCCATGGTCTCACAAGCGGCGAGAACACGAACTAAAGACTTGTCAGCCATCATCTTGCGCATGGAGTAGGCCAATGTGAGCGTTACTGCCAAAGGCAAACCCTCGGGCACAGCCACCACCACAATCGTCACCGCAATGGAGAATACGTGCACCAATTCCTTGATAACCTCACCGGCTCTTCTCTCTTTCGAGGTGGCTTTTCTGAATGTAATAGCGAAATACCGGATGATTAAGATAACCAGCACAACAGCCGCAACTAACAAACCCACTTTCCCGATCAAGGTGGCAGCACCATTCAAGCGAACCTGCAGAGGAGTGAGCTCGCCATTGTCCTCGCTAATTGAGGCCATGACCTGGCCCCACTCGGTATTGAGACCCACCCCGGTCACTAACATAGTGCCTTGCCCATCTTGCACTTTGCATCCGGAGAGAAGAAATGGCCTAGACTTGTCTTTTTTCACGGGCAAGCTCTCTCCGGTCATGGTGGACTCATCGATTGATAGAGAGTGTCCTTCGACGACAACACCATCTGCAGGAACCTGACATCCGATAGACAATGGAACGATGTCGCCCACGACAAGGTCAAAAATGGAGACAGTCTGTCTTCGCCCGGCTCTTAGAACCTCTAGTTTGATGTTCTCCTTCTCAGCATTCAAGTTCTGAAAATTCAAGCCTTGCTTGTAATCGCTCACGGCTGTAACAACAATTACAAGAAGCACAGCTATCCCAATGCTGGTCCCCTCATACCATCCCTCCTTTACACCCTCGGTCCAGATGCCTGTGGCTAATGATACAACCGCGCAAGCCATCAGAATGTTGAGGGTGGTGTCCTGGCAAGCATCCCAAACATACGACCAGAAGCCTTTAGATTTCTTCTTCGGATACGTATTAGCACCGTAAGTCTCCCGCCTTTTGTTGAACAGCTCCTCCGATTCATCCAGCCCATACTCCGTGTCGGTGTGCAGTTTCTGCGCCAGACCTTCAACTCCACCCAACCTTTCCAAGTCCTCCACTTGACGGTCCTGAAGTAACTGACTGAGATCTTCGACCGACACTCCATGCGCACCTGGAGTCACATCCGAGGGACGTATTTTGTTGTGGATTGCCCTCTGCAAGCGCCCGACGGCACAAATGGTGTGAGCGCACACTCTGAATCGGGTTCTCGCCCTCTTCTGCAACGGAAATCTCCGAAATCTTCGGGTAGCATTCAAAACCAAAGTCGCCCTCCTCCATCTCCTAGAGCTCTCAGAGGTTGAAGGACTGGATTCCAAATCATCTCCTTCGTATCCAAGCAGCTGTGGAAAACATCGCCGACCCTCTCTCTCTGACGACATGTCGTCCACGTACACTGCAGTAATCCCTGCCATCTTCGAATATCTCACCAGCTCTTTTCGGGATTAGCTCCCAAGTTTCTACGATTGTGATTTTATCGAGGCACCAAATCCTTTCGCTACGTAGATGAGTCCGTAGGACAGCTCATGGTATGAGGGGGATCATGGCGGCGGGGGCCTCGTGGCGAGGGTCACAATGTTGTGGGGGAAAGCATCCACACGCTACATCAACACCTGCGTGCAGAAGTCGGGTCTTGATTCAGAACGTTAATAGAACCACGCAACGTGAGCAACAGAAAGTGAACACAAAGACATCTGCAACATATGCAGTTTGATCCAACAGCTGCGTGCTGCATTGAGCAATGTCATCTAATGCTGTCCGACATCCCAGAGGAGAAACTGGAGGACGAAACAATGTAACAATTCTAGTCTCTGAGACGTGTTTCGAATCCTTTTGTTTTATTCCTTATCCTCCATGTTCCGCATTTAATTCATAACGAGTTTGAAACACGTTTAATTGTCTCGAAACAAGTTTAGAGACGAACTAGGAAAAACAAGCCAGGGAACTGGCTCGCTGAAAATTTGCATGCCTAGGAACGGGATTCCAAACAGCAAGACACACCGAAGAAGAACAGCACAGGGACTGAATGCAAGAAGAGCATACATTCGACGTGCAGTTACTGAACTACGGTTTTAATATGCGTACTCCATTGAATAGCAGCAACTGCAATCTGGACTGATATAATCATTACTGCAATAGCTTAATGAACCAAATCGAACCTGTAGAATGATGTCACGGTGAAAGGCAGAGGTCGGTGAATGGGTAATAGGTCGCCGACTGCAACACACCGCATCAGGAGAAAACCAGCGTATTTGTAAGCGCAGCAGGATGTTCAGGAAATCATGGCAAAGGCGACAAAGAGGGGATAATCATAAACAGAATGAAACTTGAGGAAGGAGAGAATCTAGGATATTCCTGTCGACCCTTGAAAGTTGCTTAGGGCAGCGAAGGGAGATCTAGGGTGAGGACCCCCTAGGCATTCCAACTCTGGCCTTGGACGGACTCTCTCCCTCTCTCGATTAAAAACACATTGGCCACATATCAGATCCTGAGCTCTCCTTCCGCACTTTCCTCGAAGCTGCGCTCCCGGACGATCGCACGCGGCAGCTGGGGTCACTCATCTTGCATGACACAGCACTCGTACCCGAACTTACGGTTTAGCTTCCGGACTAGGTACGGACCGCGGTTGGAGGATTACGTTGGGGATTCAGTTTCACGGAGTCAGTAAGTTAGGCACAAATGGGACATGGCAAGTGGTGGAGAGCCCTGGCTTGGAGTACAACAAATATACATGCTTGCCCCCACCCCCCCCCCCCCTATCAATAAGATTCCACCTTCAATATTGTCCCCTATTCCACACTTCTATGCTTTCCTAAAATTGATTATCAAAAGGTGTGGGCCACATGGTGCAGATTCTCAACACTGTAGCAACAGTACTTGCCTCTTCACAACTACAACAAATAAATAAATAAATAAATAAATAAATAAATAAGATTCATTGAAGAATCAACTACGGAATCCCCCATAGTCAACATTGTAATTTCCACACAGAAAACTCTCCTTCATTTTAAGATCATACATACTGTTAATTTTGAAAAAAAAAAAAAAAAAAAAAAAATTTTATTTTGTATTTTTAAGGTGTAATAGACCAGTTTTTGTTGCTCTAATTAAGTCAGAAGTAACCAATTATTTCCACGCGCTTCTGAATTCGATTATTTTTCACTTTCTCTCTCTTCTTTTTTTTTCTTTTAATTATGTTTTAATGTGCTTTTTGTGTGGATATTAAAATATGGTTTATTCATTTCACCAACATGGATTTATTTCTATAATTATTTTTTTCGTGAGATTTTTTCAACAGATATTACAAGATGTTAAGATTTCACGTTGTCCAGTGGACGAATCTGTCGCAACGCCAGCAGATCCACTGCATTCTCGGTGCAGATTCAGCTCCCATATTCATATTCCCAAAATAGACAATTTCGATCTCATCATATGGTGCATCAGCTCCGGAGGCGCCGCAGCACCGTCTGAAACAGGGTCGAGAAGCTGCTGCGATCTCTCTGCAGACATTTCATCCAATAGGAGGCGCCTCATATCCGCGATTTGGGTTTGGTCCCGCCCTCCCCATGAAATGAGCTAGGAATGAGCTTCGAAACTTCTTGGGGGTCGGTAGTTGCCGGGCATTCTGACTAGTCCCCACCAACCCACTCCTGACCATCTCCCCATTCCTCATTTCCATGCCCCTTGCTTCGCTCCACCTATCCATATGAATGAAAGCTTGGGGATTAAGTTTCCGAACATCCATCCAAAAGCGCTCCAGCAACACCTCAAAGCAACAATAAGCATTGTGATGGAACGGTGCATACGTGGCCTGTTGCTCGCAAATAAAGAAAGATAGGCGTCGCAATGGGATGCGATGTTGTTGTGATTCATTGAAATCTGGCAGTCACGCTTTAGACCATGGGCCGTTACCTTGAGGTGCTGGTATGGCCGTTGTGCTGGCTGCTGCTGGGTGCCCAACATCCACTAGTCCTGCCCCCGGCCGAAACATTTTCCAACCTCTGAATTAAACGTATGTACGTACTCACACATATTGACATTTTGGAAGCGATATATGTAAACATATAAAGAGATAAATACGCCCACAAACAGATTGGAAGATTCAGCGCTGAGACGCACTGCCCTATATAGCACCACCGCCAGGTGGGAACCGCGTTCAGCCCGCTCCTGACAAGGGTGGCTGCCATGCATCCAAACCCCCTCTCTTTCAACTTTTCTAAACATATTATCAAATCTAATGCTAAAAAAGTTCACACATAATGTTTGTTGCGAGCTGATGATTGCCAAGTGGATTGAAGCTTTATCTGGGGAAGAGGTTCACCAAGTGGTTAAAGAAATGGCTGCCAATGAAGCATTAGAGCCAAATTGTGTGGATATTGACTTTTTAAAACTTTTTGAAATACTCCTTGCAAATGTTATGTACATATGATCAAACTTACCATCTCAGGAACAACCATTTCAACACCAATTGTTATGAGAACCATCATACTACTACACAAAGCAGCTAGGGATCAACTTGAAAAAGGCAATTGAAATCAAATTGCCCTATTTAACACTGCCTACAATGGTATTGCTAAAGTGTCACAAAAAATTTACAACCGATACTCAGAAAAATAATTAGCTCATATTAAATATATGTATATATATTTACATTAATTTTAAAAATACTATAATAATAAAAATTACTATGAATTGGAAAAAATATATATTATTTTTTAAACCAATTTTTATTAGGGAAATTGGTAAAGTAACTTAAAATTTTATGTTTTTTGTCATAAACATTATAATCAATTTATGATGCTAGAAATTTTTTGATAAAAATAAATAAAATTGAGTATATTTTTTGCTTGCACTTATAATAATATTACATTAAGTATAAGATCTAAAAAAATTTTGCCAATAAAAAATAGCTTTAAAAATCAAAATGGCAAAAAATTAAAATTATAAAGAATAATATTTTAAAACTTTAAATACTTTAAAATGTTACTTTTGTATCTTTAATCCTCTGTAGTTTGTCTTAATATATCAAACATATAAATATAATAATATTATAAGAAAAAATCTTGATAAATATTAAATAATAGTTACTAAATTTTTTTAAAATATTTTAAGATTTTGTATTGGTTTCAAAACAGTTCAATATATGTATTAGAGACATATATAATTATCTAAATAAGAAGTGTTAGATAGAAGGTAAATACATATAGATTTAATAACATCTTGTGGAGTAGCTTCATAGAAGCTTTATAGATGCAAAATTGATTTTATACGTATTTGTAATTAATTGATAGATTAAAAACTTGGTAAATAAGTTGAACATATGTCGCTTATATTGGCCTCATATGTTTCAAGTTTGATATATGGCACACATATAAGAAACTTATTTTAGAAGTTACAGATGTGTCAAATGTTCAATAGAATGTTGCCATGTAGCTTTTAGTTAAATAGTACATATAGAAGCAAAAGTGAAGCCTTTTTTACTCTTGCCAATACCTTTTTTGTTTTTAGTTTAGTTTTAAGAATCTATATAGTCTTCTTATCTTTGATAATAGCCATTTTAATTTTGATACTATACTATTTTTGAATGAATATCTAATCTTCTTAAGTGATACAAGAGTATATTGAAATTTTTAATGTTTGTAATTTATGTCCTTGATAATTTGATAGGAGTGCTAATTCATTGTTTTTATTTAATTTTAGAACTAAGTGGATCACTTCACTTCTTTTATTATGTTTTAAAGATTGCAGACCATCAACTTTTGAATTAATATTTTTATTTTTTAATATTAATATTTTTCTTAAATAGAGTAGACTATTCATCTTTGTAGAAATTTTTATATAATATTAGAGATTACAAATTATCCTCCTTTAATTTAACTTATAAATTTATTAAAATCATGTATTATAAAAATAGAAAAAATTATAAATACTATATTTAGAATAAGTAAAAATAGATTTATAACTATTATAGATCTTTTTACTTAAGATAGAAATTTTACATATTATCAATACAAATTATAGAGGTACTAATTGTATATCTATAGAAGAATTTAATAATAAAGTTTAAAGTCTATACTAAGAAGTTATACAATTGAAAAAAAATAAATAGATCAAGTTTACAATTAAATCCAAGAAATCTTGCTACTATAAGTACAGAGGTAAGAATAAATATGCTGCAGAAGTTTGATAGAACATAATCAAAATTTTGAATAATTCTATAATATATTAAGATTTATTTAAGATTGTATCCTTCATTATACCTTAATAGATTTATTAAAATTAGATTTATATAAAAATTTCTAGCTAAAATTGCTCTCTATTGGTTTACATCTTTGATGGAAAAAAAATCATAACTCTTTTATTATCTATACTCATTCTAAGAAGTATTTACAACCATATTTGAAAAAAATGATAAAAAAAAGATAGCAAAGATCAAACTCCTATCTTTACAATAAGGATCATATTCAGCTACTATATGTGTTGTTGAATAAGTATCCCATATCCTTCATTTTAAGACTTTTTAATCAATTGAATTAAGCCAAGATCTATATCAAAATAGATCTAGAAGGAGTATACAATTTGCTAAAAATTAAAAAAAGAGATAAATAGCAGACCACGTTTTGAACTAGATATGAACATTTTGAATATAATGTCATGTCTTTTAGACTCACAAATATACCAACTATTTTTTCACATCTTATGAATGATTTTCATTTTTAGGAATTTCTAAATGATTTTATTGTTTGTTATTTAAAAGATATCTTAATCTAATTTAAGAAATAAAAATAACATAAATTTTATGTTTATTATATATTACAAAAATTGAAAGATGCAAGACTATATGTCAAGATGAAAAAGTATGTATTTCACACAATTAAAGTTGATTACTTAAAATACATCATTTTAAATGATGGCCTTATAATAGATCCTAAAAAAGTTCAAACTATTATAGATTGAGATATTTGAAAAACAATAAGAGATGTCTAATATTTTTTAAAATTTGGTAATTATTATTAAGTCTTTATTAAGATTTTTTTTTCAAATTGCAACTTTGCTTATATATTTGACTAGTAAAGACAAACTTAAAGTGGAATAAAGAGCAAAAACAACATTTAAAGCTTCAAAGACAACTTTTATTTATATACCAATTTTGTATTATATTGACTTTTTTTAGATATTTTTTTTATGAAAATAGATGCATCATACTTTATTTTGGAATATTCACAAATGAAAGTAGATGATAAACTTCAGTCAATAGTTTTTTATTTTTAAAATATTATAATATTTTTAAAATATTAATTTTTTTTTATAGATTTCATAAAAATCCTATTCAAAATATTGAAGGTCGATATAAAACTATCTTTGGCCTTCAATTCTAATACTAATTGACAAATGAAACTTGAAAATTAAATTTTGAAGTAGTATTTGAGTTGTAC